ATGGGGAGAGGGTCCCTGCCTGCCCCCTTGCCCTGGGAAAGGAGGGGTGGCTCACTGCAGAGGGCAGGAGGAGCATGGCAGAAATCTGTTAAATATATATATATATATATATCCCCCTTGCAGAGTATCCGCTCGGCCTTTCCAGAGAGACACTAAAACACCAGGCAACAAGGCAAGCTCCAGCAAGGGAAATTTGCTCATCAGAATAAAAAGGCATTTCTTCAGCTGGGGCAGGATGATTTTCTCTCCCCAGAGTTCGTAGAGCATTTGTCAGCCCAGAGGCACTGCAAGGCACCTCCTTCAAAGCAACGACCACCACTGGACGGTCGGCAGGCAAGGCAGCTCCTAAAACCACCACTGAAATCAGAAGCGAACCTGCTAACTTGAAAAAGGCAGTTGTGTCCTGCTGCGTAGGTGAAACCCGGCCGCATGGAGCTGGAGGCCTGGACGCTGGACCAGGAAAGCCCAGCTTTGGCCCTGGCTGTAAACATTATCTCAGCAAACACAGGGAGGTTTGCAGCCAGGAGATCGGGCCCTGAGCGCCCAGGCACATTCGGTGACTGCCGGTCCCCGAGGACAGCCCCTCCCCAGGGCCAGCACTGCTCCTGTTTACATGGGGACACCCTGGACTTGCAGTTGGGATGGGGCTGTTCCAGTGTTTTGGTTCTCCGGAAGGCCCCGAGGTCCCCAAGCGGGAGCAGCCGCAGGGAGCCTCCCAAAGAAACAGGATTTTCTGCAAGGCGTGAAGGGAGGGCTGAAAAAGGGACGTGGAAACACCCTTTTCCATAGTGCCAGCTGCAGTTTTCAAAACATTGATTTCCAGGATCGGAGGATCTTGAAATGACCGAGATCCCAGCCTGGGGAGGAGAGGGGCCCTCCGGCACCCGCTGCACCGGTGACTCGCGCAGAGCAAATGCAGCGTGCGTGAAGGAGGTGGAGCAGAGAAACGCACTTACCCCGGATGTTCCCGAGATAGAGGCCTTTAACCACCTGGGAAGAGACAAAAAGGAGATTTCAGACAGCATCAGGTGCAACACGCGTCCCTACATGATGGAGACGGGAGGACTCCTGAGGACCTGACCCAGGATTTCTCCTTCCTCCAGAGCAGAGAGGCCCAGACAGCTCCCTGGGGGGAAAAGCAACCTTGCAGCCTAAAAGAGCCAACCGTGTTGGCCACTGGGGTTATAGATGCCCAGGGGACCAGAGAGGAAAGCAAAGTGTCGTTCCTCCTTTCACCAGATTCTCCTTCCTGCTTCCCAAACCCACAAGCAAACACATTTGCTTAATCTAACACCACGCAGAAAGTTGTTCAGAAGCATCAAGCTGCACACGTGCTACTCGCACACGCAGGATCAAGGCCTCCGGCAGCAAACTCCCCCAGGCAGTTATGGACTAAGCACCTAATCAACAAACCGTCTTCGTTACCAGACCGACGGCGCCAGCTTGAGCCCAGCCAAAACTCCTGCAGGTGCGAGACGCAGAGCAAACCCTTCCAGGAGCGCAGAGCTCAGGAAAACTCAGTACATATGCTGAGGATGGGTTTCCCAGCTTGCATGTTGTCCCTTGGTCATGCTGCTAATGGAAAGGTCCTGCTGGGAGCTGGATTCCCCAGACAGGTCACCCCGGAGCCTCCGCCGGCGAGGTGTGGCTCAAAGGGCACACGGGACCCGCCGGCACGGGGCCCCTGGAGCACGAGGAGCCCGACCTGGCCACCACGGGGGACTTGGACCCCAAGGGACAAGCAGAGGCCGGCCCGCAGCTTTGCTTTGCCTTTCTATAGCAACTGCCTCTTCCAAATAGTTTCAAAGGTTGCCTCTGCCAGCTGGGAATAGATGTGCATTATAAATTTATTATAAATAGCACGGGCTATTTATAATGCTTCTCTGGCCGGGATGCTGTGGTAAGTGCCTCTGAGTGTGCAAATTCTGTCTCCCACTCTCTGCTGTTGGCTACAAAAAAGAAAGAGGGACAATTTGGCCTATTTATGGAGTGTAATAACCTGCTAGAGCCATTTCTAGAGGCATGGAAAAGAAGAGCTGGTTCCCGATAAGATTTGTTTGCACCCTTCCGGCAGAAGAAACCCTGTTCGAGAGGCTGCAGAAAGGTTTTCCTAGCAGAGAGGGGGGCTTGGCAGCTCAGGCCTGGAGGCCAGACGCACATCCTCAGCCCCCCCCGCCGGCCCCGCGCAGCAGCGCCAAGTCCTTGCACCAGCTCCCGAGGCCACGAACGCTTAAAACGCCGCCAACCTGCTCTCGAGGCTGCAGTCCGCTCGCTCCGCACCTCGGCAAAGGACCTTTGCACTCCCCGGGTCGTTCATCCAAACACACGGATGCTAAGCTGGCAGCAAACATCCTTGCCCTGGACCAGCTGTGCACTTGTTCCCCGGCCCGTTGGGGGCTGGGGTCTCACGCCAACGCTGCCAGCGGGCAAGTCGTACATGTAACGGGAGACACGAGCTGGAGGGAGAAGCCGTGCTCCTTTATTTACAATATCTGGGGTGCAAACACCTGGATTCGGTCAACGGCTCTGCCCCCAACACAGCAAAACCTTAGATGTATTTTATTTTGAACTGCAGAAAGCCATTGCAGTAAGTGCAATGATATGAAAGGACATGCGCTGTGCGTAACAAACTCGGTGAGCAGTACGTGGGGGCATTTCATATCCCCAGGGCAGAAAAAAAAGGAGAACAGTCTACTAACAAGGAATCGCACCGTGAGAACCCAAAGGACTCTTTGCAGCACCCTGCAGGACCACCGAGCTCCCCGGTGCAGGTACCGAGGTGCATGCACACCAAGAGCTGTGCTCTGAGCCTGACGGCCGAAGAGGAATTTATTAATTTTTGTTACCCAGAGGAGTAATAAAAAGCTCAGAGATGGCTCCGAGTTATCCCGGCGAGTGCTGTACAGCAGCAATTGCGTTCTGTACGTAAAACACACCTTTAACCCTCTGAAAGCCTGGTAAATGCTGTCGACTGCCTTCCCCATTTCCAGCCCCGTGCCTGGCTCTATACGAGAGACCAGCTAAAACGAGGATGCTGAGCCCCGCGTCTCGCAAAGGCCAAGCCGGATGGTGCAATGCAAAGGTGTCAGCCCCAGCACAGCGCTGGGACCCGCAGCACCAGCGCAGAGGCAGCCGGAGCCACTTCCTGGGGTGGCCAGTGGCCACAGGGGGTGAAACCCCCGTGTTAAACCGCAGCAGAGCTGCCCAGAGAGAGCTCCTCCTGATCTGGTGTCTCTGCTGTTGTTCCAGGGTCTAATTTTAAGTTGGATAACACATGTACTGAGCAGTTATTTGAGGATACAAACAGAAATCAATCCCCTCTGCCAGCCCTGAAGTTCAGCTGAGCAACAACCATCAGTAAAACCCCACTTGGCCCGTTTGCATGCATTGTCCCCAGGCACAGAGGTGTCTCAGAGGTGACAAGGGAAGGAAATTTCCCCGCACGCACCCCAGTAATTTTGGATCGCAGTCCAGCAGGCTCCAAGGGGCCCGCGTTAGCCCTGAGGACACTAGCGCCAGGGCTTCACCACCCAAGGGACCTAAAGCCAGCTGTCACTTTTTAAACACACTTCAGCACTTAGCTCATCACCCTGAATATAAATCCAGGGATCGCTGTTCGCTTTTAAATGGATGTGGAAAATTCCCTTTCTCAAATGCTCAAAGTTTTGAAGGGGAAAGACAAAAGGAAGATGCAACCGGTTGCATCTAGGGCACTGTCGCAGCCTGGGAACGAGCCTCCCCCTGGACAGCAGCAAAAAGATGCTGCCAAGGAGGAGCGCGCTGGCCCCGTCCTGCCGTCCTTCCCGTACCTTGCTCATTCCACTCCCCATGGTCTTTCTCTCCCCACAGTCAGGACTCAGGCGGCCTCTCGGTATCCAAGGGTACCTGCAAATAAACACCCAAAAAATCCCCGACAGGACTAGTGAGATCCACCTCTCCCCAACAGCGTGTCCCACTGTCAAGAGCCAAGGAAAGGGGGAGCATGCACCGGCAAGGGAGTGTGCAGAGCCCCAGCAAACTCAGCCCACTTACCGGCTGCAAGCTGCTCCCTAGGTCTTTGCTGCGGCACTATTGGGTGAAGGAGGACTGAGGAGCGCGGCTGCTGCAGGGTAGGAAAGGACGAAATAAGGATCGGGGGCTGCGGTGAGGCTCAGGTTTCTCTTCCGGACTCCCTGGCTCGCTGGGGCTTTCACTGACGCTCAGCCTTTTGGGGAGGGATGAAGAGGGGGACGCCAGGGATGAAGAACTGCCTCATCCCAGGGATGTTGGCAGCAGGCGGCGTGCATCCCTGCCGGGCTCAGCGCTGGTGGGCAGAGCGCGCGGGTGTTTTCTCTGTGGGTTCTAGCAAGGTCTGGAGCAGCAGGGCCAGCTTGGGCAGATTTCCACTGCAATGAGCAGGCACCTTCCCGAATGCAGTCACTTCTCCGCTGCAGCAGCCCGTCCCCTTCCCGAACCACTTTCCTGGGGATGTGCTCAGGGCATCACTCTCTGCTCCGAGGGGCCACGCTGCTCAGGCGGTGCAGAGAGCAGGGACACAAGACACACAGCTCAGCCTTTCTTTCTTTCTCCATGCTCCTTTCGGGGCTGCCTCTCAGTCAGCAATGCTACAGTCTGATATAAGCTCTGAAGGCACCAGGATTCCTCTCCCGGCCACACTAATTCCTCCTAAAGAGGAGACGCTCAAGGGAATGAGATCAGAATTCAGAACAAGGCATTTACCTTGAAAAATCAATGCGGCAGGAGTGATGTGCAGCTAATGGAGCATTTAGGGTAAGCCCATCTCCCCTCCCTCCAGGAAGGGAGATAACACCAGCTCTAAAGCAGCACTGTAATTCCCACACGCGCTTCAAAATGTCAATTTTCAAAACAGATATGCCAGGCCCCTCCCACATCAATGTTATTAGCCTGTCAGAAGCATGAGCTGTATGAAGAATGAGCAAAAGCAAACCTCTACAGTAGCGAAAACCCTGCAGTCATCATATATCTGTGTTGCAGCAACAAGGTGAAATCTAGGTTACCCTGAATTCCAGGGAACCTAGCCAGACTGGAAGCATAAGTCAAAAGATATTTCCCTGTCATCATTTCACTTCCCAAATCCAGTAAATGAAATCATTTCCCACACTTCAAGCAGTTTTCTGCAGTCATTGAACAAATACTGACACAGAAAACAACAGCACAACCTTAGGATGACATTTAAAGGCACTTCAAATTGCATTTGTTATCATGCTGTTGCCAGGTTAAAGACAACATAGTTCAGCTGTTGGTTTTACCACCATAAGAAACTAAGCCAACTCCACCGCAGTCATCTTAATAATATCCTTCTCGGTACTCTGGAGACAAACATTTTACGTAAAGGATCTTTCAGAAGCAGGAAGGGGAGCTCATCACTTAAATCCCACTGAATCATCTCACCTTTGAAACATCTTCCCCTGAAAGTTCCTTTACTGAAGCGGAAAGGCTGACCAGCTCCTGACACACCAGAGCATCAGAAGCGACTAAGGACTGAAGAGTCCCTAGGCTTTCTGCCATGGCAGCTAAATACTTACAAAGAGGTTTAAACCCATGACTGTTCAGTAATCAGGAAGAACAAACTGAACTCAAAGCTGTTTTTTCAAAGGTAGATTTGATCTTTGGAGGCCCATTTTTAAATCAAAGGCCTGCAGTTTGCCTTCAGAAAGCCTAGGACACACATCAATGCTGGGGGAGATAACCCTAAGCAGCTACCAACAGAGCACAGCAAATACAGAGGTGCCATCCTTCTTATTTCAGGCCCTGAAAAACATTAAGCCATGTCAAACAGTTCTGAACCAGATCTTGTTCACACCATTACATTTCCTAAAAGGAGATACCAGATGTTCCCACTACCTGTGGCGTTTCTTTCCCTTCCCCCAACTGCAGCTACCCTCTCTGCCCATTTTGTCACTTTAGAGGAGAGGCAAGGCACAAAGCGTATCCTAGATTTTCATCCAAGCCTATTCTTGTCCGAGCTAGATCTATTTATTCTCTCCTCCTCACTCCAGTCTGCAAGCGATGCTGCAGTATGGAGTGAGGTCTGCAGCCTGCCCATGTTGTTCAGTTGGAAGCAGAAGCTGAGAGGAACTGGAATTTTGAGCCAAGTTCCCTTTACAAAAAGAATGGAGCAGCATTTATCTCCATCAAATAACCTGAGCAGTTTGACTCATACCACTGCCTTCTGGAGCGCTGACATGCTATTTTTGGAATCAAGTTATGGGACACTGAGCCTCCCCAGGAGTCGGGATCCGTTTACCTTACATGTAGTTCAGATCTTTGCACAGTGTAAGGCTTCAGGCTGTGCCCCAGAAACACTAGATACTTTTTTTATTTTCCAGACAGAGTTTCTGCTGAGAACATAGCACCAGAACAGCAGGCTATCTAGGCTGAAGACTCAACAAAACTCACTGCAGAGCCAAGTGAAATGTTACTGTTTCAGTGCCAGGGTAATAAATGCAAGATCAAATACTGAAACTTTTCAAACTAACTTTAATCTTGTTTTTCTCCTGAGAAACACAAGTGTTTCATTCTCTTTAACGCTGTTCATGTATCAACTGTTGTAAGATTATTTGGAAAGAATTTGCTCCTCAGCAAATGGCATCACAAATTACAATCACAACAAAAGCATTTGAAGACCAATAAAAGCAAACTTTCAAGTTAACCGGACATTTATTAGCATCTATTTAGGTGGAGGTTGTTCCAGTACATAAGCAACGAGGTCACGCACAGGTGATGGAATCATTTCATATTCAAGCAGAGCAGGTTCCACTGAGTTGCTTCATTTTTTCCATTCATTCTTCTCAAAATCCCACTGGGAAGAGATGCCCTCAACAGGATTAATCCGCATGTCCAACATTCTCTTCGTCTGCGTTGCCAACCACTCGTCAGAGAAGGTGTGGGGAATAGGACCATACACTGCAATTCAAAAGCAGGGGGAATTACACTGTGATACAAGAAGGACAAGCTGGGAGCAGACGTACAAGTTTCACTAATGGAAAGCTTTTTCCCCTGAAGCAATCAGTGTTGATCACATATGTGCCAGCACCTGCTTAAACTCAGGTTTCCTAAATCTGATTTTGAGGTGTTGAGCTTGGACCAGTCAAACTCCTCTGTTGCGTCTCTAACAGTTTCCTTAATCAGTAAAAACGGGTACAAAGATGACTCCCTCTCCTAACCTTCATTGTGAGCAGATAAAGACTGAAGACTGATAACAGCTCATTTACCTGCACACGCTGCCTCGTGGCAACTGGAGGGCTCGCTCCAGGTAGGATCTTTTCGTGGGCAGGAAGCCAGACATGGCAAAGCCCCAAACTTTTACTACCAGGAAGGCAATAAGCTTTTGGGATACCAGGTTTCACAGAGACGGGAAGCTCTAGGACCATTAGTACACCCCTACTCTTTCATCTGCCTTTCCTCTCTTCCCCTCAAAACTCTGTCCACCAACGTCACATTTCTACAATCAACTTTCTGAATATTTAAGCTACGCACCTGCTTACATCCATTAAGCCACAATTCCAGAATTGAGTTTTAAAAGGACAGCAAACAGCAATTGCCAAGCAGTCACCAGTATGGCTCTCCATGCAACATTTTGAATTCCCAAGCGGCTTATGGAAGATTTTCAAATTTTGCATTCCATATTAACTGATACCTGTCTCAAATAAAAGAGTTGTAACTATAAGCCATTTACTTACTATACATTTTCTGCCAAACAAGGAAGAGACCAGTTACGCCAAGAAAGAACAGTACTCCACCGAGGACAGTCTTCCACTCATTTGATCCTCTGTTCATTTCTGCATAGCTCTCATTGAATTTGATACGATACACTGGGGCGGGAGGGGGAGGGGGAGGGGGAAAGAAAACATCAAACCATTTATTTCATTTTTTCCTGCAACATGCAGGCAACAAGACAGGGTCCAGCAGGAGATGACCAAAGTCTAAAGCTGTCTGAAATGGAAAGGAAGTAAAAATAGCTCTTGAATATGCCAATACCTTGACGCTCGTGCCAAAGTAAACAAGTTGTGTTTCACCATCCCCTCATCAGTAAAGTCAGCGTTAGTCGCTATTTTATACAAACAAGTATGATTGTGAAGTTGCGCTGAAGTCGCATACTAGGCCTGGCAGAAGGAGAAATACAGCTTTCCTTCCTTCCCCACAATTCCCAGTATGGCTATTTACCATAAATCTCACTTGCACAAATCATTTGAACAGAAATGCTTTCATCTAAAAAGGCTGCTGTCAGCTCTGCCAGTAAGACCCGCACCTCAATACTCTGCAGTTCAAAACAGCGTTAGATCTGGAGAGGGCTAATGAACGTCTGAGGAGTTCCAGAAACTCAGTTTTACACCTTCTCACTTTGACACAGGAAGACACGAGATGCCACACAACACGGTATCACTTGCACAGCATGACAGCAGCCAGAAAAGATGATACAGTTTCATCTGCAAGTCAGAACACTGGCTTGACACTTCAATGAGCTGAAATTCTGTAATGCTGAGGTCAGCAACCAGTAACATTCAAATTATACATAGTTCATTTTACTCAACTGAACTAATACAATCACATATTGTTAGCAACAACCCAGAATAAGTCTCTTCACTGCAACAGATGGGAACCAAGAAAGAAATATAAAAGTTTTTTTTAAAGAAGAAGAAACTGCTGAACTTTTACCAATTGCTAGCTAGATTCCTTATGTCAAATCTACCACGTGATGTCAGGTGCATCTGAGTTGCTGAAATAGCATTAAGAATCCAGCTACAGAAGACTACACTGATCTCCATTTGTGCATACCTGAGGAGCTCCACCATATTTAATGGCTCCTTCTTGGCTCCAGTCTCTGCCTACAGATCCATTTAAAAGAGCAGGGCCTAAGAGCAGCCTAGAGCTGCCTTCCATGGCTGTCTTTCCAATAAGAGAGTCATCAATAAAGCACATGTAACAGATTAGCGCACATTATCGTTAGCTGTAAGGTCTATCTAAAGCTCCCACTACCTACATTCAACTTTCTCATCAACAGACAGAGCAGTCCATGATGCCTTTTCCTTTTCTTTCAGAGCCTTCTGCTGAGCAGAGAGATCCCTTACAAAGGCCACTTCAGGCAGGGGAACATCACGGCGATCGGTGTATCCTGGAAGGCTGAAGTCCTCTGCTTTCACAACACCAGCTGCGTACAGAAACAGAAGAGACGCTGACTCAAGTTTCTGACTTCTACACAAACATCTCCTACCAGTTACTATGGGGAAAAAAGTACAATTCAAGAAACCAACGATAGTTAAGGAGTCCAGAAGGGAAAACAGTTCCAGACGATATATTCGGATCCCATCTGGCCAGTTAGTCTTGTCCACGTTTACGACACAGAAAGAGGGAAAAGAGATACTTCTTAGAATGAGTGCTGTTTTAAGAGTGTAAGAATAATACTAGGGGATCTACATAAAATATAATACCAAAAATTACTTTAAAGTATAAGTCTCTAAGACTCCTCTGTTTCCAAGTGTCGCACTGATTATCTTCCTTTCTAAATATCTCAAGCCCCCTACACTTTTTCCGTTCTAGTTCCTGCCAAGACCTCTGCTCCTACAATGCCCCCCTCTACAGCTATCTCTGCCTGTACGTCCGCAATGCCCTCTACCGGCAAAGACACCAATCAGATCAGACAAATGCCACCACCAGGCCAGGAAACCAGCCTCAATAACCCCCAGCCTTCCCTGCTCCTGTCTTTAGCCAAACACACTTCCTAGCTAAAAGCTGCAGAAAAGATGCTAAGCCTCTGCTGGGTCAGGAAACACCACTGCGAGCACATTCAGAAATGGATTCCTGGGCAAGCGCATGCTGCTAAAAAGCTGCATTTGGCAAACAAAAACATGAACGCAGAACTATTGAACCTCCCTACGTCTTATTCAGATCTTTTGGACAAAATTCATGTTATTTGTCTCCTGAAGTTACAACACATCAAGTTCTCGTGTAAAAACATTAGTGGCCTAATGTCCTTAACCACTCCAATTCCCTCCCACATTGTATTTCTAAACACTCTTTACCGCATCTTAGATTGCTTCATTTAACATGAGGAATCACCGTGAATTTGGCAAAGAAAGCTCTCCTAATCAAGTTTAAAGCTCCTAAGAGCAGTGTTTTATGTTCTTCTGTAAAGTGCTTATCTCACTGTCATTTCTAAAGAGGAAGCAGATGCCACCTACCCTGTCCATGTCCTCTCATGCAGATGGAAGTGGAAATGGCTCTTTTGCCAATGAGACTAAATGCCCTTGAAGCCAACATCCTGTCAGGAAGAACACAAGTAAATCACTGCCACATGTAGACATCAAAATTGCACATTAATTTGAAGTAAAACCACTTTTGCCTCGTGTGGATACGAAAACTAATCTACAGGTTTGCTGATCCTTCTCTGAAGGACAGCATATCACACATTTCATGGCTGGATTTTCACTGCTGCTCCCCAACTACAGTTACCAGGAGGAGCCTTTTTCCTCTCCCCCTTTTCCCAGCAGACGCCCGTGTTTGAGCTCAGACCTGTTCACTGCAAGCCAGAAACCCTCCGTCACATAAGCCTGAGGGCATCTGGCTTCCACTGAAGAGCACCTTCAGCAATGCAAACGTGCGCACAGGAGCGGCACACCGAGCTAACGGTTTCTCCGACGTGCCACCGCCAGCGCGGGCCCGGAGCAGCATCGCTGCTCGCTGTCAGGGATTGTCCGCAGCTGCCTGACGTCTGCGAAAACAGAAACCCGTTTTTTTGGAAAAGCCTCGCTGCCAGCGCGAGGCCCGCGAGCCCCCAGCGGG